CTGTCATCTTAATTCCTCTTCTTTTATTGTCCTCTCTCCTTGATAGTATTTTTTCTCCTCTCTCCTTAATAGTAATTTTTCTCATTCTCTAACACTCAGTAACCCCCTTGCTTCTTAGTGGCTTTATTGCCTTTCTTAAGGTTAAATGAAAATGGAAATGAACAAGAAAAAAAAATAAAAAAGGATAGTGACATACCAGATTGTTGACAAGATTTCATCATTTTACAGTTTAAATGGCTAGATGCAACTATAAGTTCTATGCTGTTTCTTGTACTTCTTCCTTATGGAACTTTCTTCTGCCTTCTTTCTTCCCAGTCAACTTACATCTTCAAAAATTTACATGCTATGTTAATCGTTATTTTCTATCATCTTGATTCCACTTATTTTTCTCACTCCTTAGTGTTTTTTTTCTTTTCCTCACATTCTCTCACACCTAGTAACCCCTTGTGTCTTAGTGGCATTATACCTTTGCATGGAGTAAAAAAAAAAAAAAAAAAAAGCCCTAACTCTAATAATGAATACTCCTCCCCTATAAAGTGTGTTCCAATAAATTGAACATATTTTAAATGTGAATTAAGTTTAAGTGTCTAATGATTTTTTTTCTTTTTCTTTCACATTTAAGTCTTTGGTAATTTCAACCATGGAAAGATTAACAAACAATGTGTTAAAGTTATTGAAGCCTATTACAAAAATGGACGTTCAAGCAGAATTTGAATGAGAAGTTCCCAGGTTGCATCATCTCTTGAAACAGCAAAGTCAATTGATCACTACAGCCGTGCGACTTGACACCTTTAGATTTCTTCCTTTGGGATCATCTCAAAAGTAAGGTCTATGCCAACAAGTCAACAACAATTCAACCGTGGAAGGATGAGATAATAAGACATATTGGTAAGATCGAGGAGCAATTATGCAGAGACATCATCAAAAATTTTGACCATCAAGTGAACGTGTGCTGCTGAAGCCTTGGTGGACATTTGGGTGATATTATTTTTCACACATAATTGCCATGACTTAAATAACATGATCCAATAGAGAAATAAATAAATATTCACCAATAACACTGATTTATTTACTGCTGACTTTGATCCATCTTAATGAAACACCCTTTAAATATCACAAATTTTAACAAGTACATTAAATAGGAGTAGAGTTGCCTGTGTGTATAGTTGTAAGTATGCCTGATATTTTTTCTGTGAGTTGACAACCAATAAATGAAGGGAAATTTAGTAGAATAATGACATTACATAGATAAGGAAGATTATGTACTAATGTGGTTCATTTTAAATATTTTTACATCATAGTTTGTTTTTTTTTGTTTGTTTTTTAATTCCTATCACATTTTTTGAAATGTCATCTAGTAATTTTTTTTATCATTAGCTTTATGACTTATATGGTCGGGTTAGCCTTTATGACTTATATGGTCGGGTTAGCCTTTATGACTTATATGGTCGGGTTAGCCTTTTTTATGACTTATATGGTCGGTTAGCCTTTATGACTTATATGGTCGGGTTAGGACTTATATGGTCGGGTTAGGTTTTTATGACTTATATGGTCGGGTTAGCCTTTTATGACTTATATGGTCGGGTTAGCCTTTTATGACTTATATGGTCGGGTTAGCCTTTATGGGTCGGGTTAGCCTTTATGACTTATATGGTCGGGTTAGCCTTTTATGACTTATATGGTCGGGTTAGCCTTTATGACTTATATGGTCGGGTTAGCCTTTATGACTTATATGGTCGGGTTAGCTTTTATGACTTATATGGTCGGGTTAGCCTTTGCGACTTATATGGTTTAGCCTTTATGACTTATATGGTCGGGTTAGCCTTTTATGACTTATATGGTCGGGTTAGCCTTTTATGACTTATATGGTCGGGTTAGCTTTTTTATGACTTATATGGTCGGGTTAGCCTTTATGACTTATATGGTCGGGTTAGCCTTTATGACTTATATGGTCGGGTTAGCCTTTATGACTTATATGGTCGGGTTAGCCTTTATGACTTATATGGTCGGGTTAGCCTTTTTGCGACTTATATGGTCGGGTTAGCCTTTATGACTTATATGGTCGGGTTAGCCTTTTATGACTTATATGGTCGGGTTAGCCTTTTATGACTTATATGGTCGGGTTAGCCTTTGCGACTTATATGGTCGGGTTAGCCTTTATGACTTATATGGTCGGGTTAGCCTTTATGACTTATATGGTCGGGTTAGCCTTTATGACTTATATGGTCGGGTTAGCCTTTATGACTTATATGGTCGGGTTAGCCTTTATGACTTATATGGTCGGGTTAGCCTTTATGACTTATATGGTCGGGTTAGCCTTTATGACTTATATGGTCGGGTTAGCCTTTATGACTTATATGGTCGGGTTAGCCTTAGGCCTGCTACTGGTAACATGTAACCCTGTACAACCTGCCACATGGACAGGTGGTTGGTGTCTAAACCAGCTGGCCCACTAACTTTTCCACTGGTGAGGAGGTGGGTAGCATATCAGCATACAGGACAAAAAATAAAACCCTGTCAAAGCGGGGGACTAGCTTCTTATAGGAGCCAATGCCCAACATGGACACATACACATAGAAAATAAGGAAGAGGAAAAGGAAAAAAAAAAAAAATCAGCCTAACACCAATAAATAGAGCATAAATTATTTTTTTAACTTCATGGCAGTCAATCGCTGAAACCTAACAAGTGAATCAAATGATTACAAAAAGGTTTATCTATGAAACTCAAGAGTCAGAGTGCCGAATAAAACATCAATCAGCTAAGTGATTATCATATATATAATAAAAAAGGCTCAAACACTAATATTCCATGGTTATAACTTATGGAATCGTAATCACAATCCAATTCATCAGACCGACAAATTCAAAAAGAAATCGGAAAACATAACTGGGTATAAAAAATAAAATTTTAGTGAGAGTGTATACTTTCATACATTTCCCTCTCACACTTGTTTCCCACTGGGAGTGGGAAACAAGTGTGAGAGGGAAATGTATGAAAGCTCTAGAGAGGGTAACAGAAGAAAGAAGAACAGGAAGGCCTAAAGGTGAAGGTCCTGGCCATTGAGTTCTACTTAGATTCTATCTTCCTGAAATTTATATATATATATATATATATATATATATATATATATATATAAGGCTTGAATGGCAACCTTCCTAGAGTGTATACTTGGATAATCATGAGTCTCTGTTGGGTATCAGAAAGTGCATTTGGCCTTGTAAAAAACCTTGCCTCAAATCATTATGACAAATCCTTTTTCAGACAGGACCCCCCACCTTGCTTTGTGTGAGATTAAATCTCAGTCCTGCCTCAAAAAAAAAAAAAAAAAAAAAAAAAAAAAAAAAAAAAAAAAAAAAAGGCATGGCTATGTATGTATGGGTATCTTTATGACAGACAAGTGACTGTTCCTCTTCTTAGGTTTGAAATTCCTCTCCTCAGAGTCAAATGTTTCTCTTTTGAAAATCACTGTATGAATGGAATGTATTGAAAACAATTTACAATAGCTGTGGTTCTTGGAATCCCAGGTCACCCTCATCAGGATACCTGCTTTTCTTAATTCTTCCACCATTTTGAATTGCCAATTTCTAATTCTTTTTCATTATTTTACCAATAATCTAAACATATAGCTGGAATTCTGCCCCTAACTGAGATTCTAATCCTTATATTTTAAATTCTTCCTATCTGTGAAGCCTTGTTCAAGCACTCCATTCACCAATATCCTTATCTTGACAGCAATATAAAAATACTATTATACCAATAAAAACGCTTCTAGCAGATTTACAAAAAAAGTCATTTATTCATATAAATTCACAACATCATTATTCAGTCATCAATATATTTTTCTCAGGATTTTTATGACTGTTACCTTTCAGTTAAAATCTGTATTCAGTCATAACAGAACAAGTTCAGTTTTGAGTCAACAAACTGGATTCTGGTTGTCACATAAAAAAGTTACATGAGATTTTCTTCCAGTCTTTTGTGTCTGAAGTCAAGAATTCAATTTATTTGAGAACCATCAACAGACAACTTTGGTAGCAACTTGAAAATCAGTAATCAAATCAAGAGTCTGCAGAAAGCATGCGACTTTTGTCAGAAATGAGAATTCCATGTTTCTACATCCTCACCTGTTCCATGTTCCCACATCCTCACCTGTATTACCTACAACACAGGAATGTTCAATACTTAATATGCCTGCTCAACTTCACAACATCAAATGCTTATTTTTAGTTATAAAATATGTTTTAGCATCCCTTTCATATAAAGAAGAATTGAGAAAACATTAATTTGTTTTTTACAGACATTTCTCTTGTGCTTTTAAGGATCACCAGAATAACTTATTTTTTCATTTCTTTTTATGTTATGATCCATCAGATTATGTGGGCAATCATGGCTCCCCATTGCTTCCTTTTAACCTGTGAGAATTGCCATGACTTGGGAAAGGGGCTTTCCAGTTGCTTTATCCACAAACAAGTTGCCATCCAAGGCTAGAGAGCCTAGTCTACCCTGTTATTTGACACATAGCTGAGGAGAGAAGAAATCGATTTCTACCTTCCACAAAGACATTAGTGTTTTTGTTTAGTGACACATCAACCTCTATGGGATATTTAATGGCAAAATCTAAATAATTTGTATGGCATTTAGTTAGTATATTTTTTTTTGAGGGAGGGAGATGATAATGGTTTAGTGATACAAATCTTACTAATTAACCCATAGGTGGGAGGAAGAAGAGTTACATTTGTGATATTTATGGCTTATCAACTCTCTGCAGGGAATTTAAAACCAGAAAATATTTTTACATGGCAAGAAATATTTTTGTAATGATAATGGTTTAGCAATACAAGTCTTACTAATTAACCCATAGCTGGGGGAAGAAGAGGTGGATGCATACGTTTCCCAATGGTATTTGCCAATAAATGAATATAATGAATCCAACTGGAATTTGAACTTGGTTCTCTAACAATTCTGAATCATTATCCATTGCTCCACCTGCACATCCAAGCTTACAGCACCTGATATTCCCAAAGCAGTCACCCATCTACGTACTAACCAAGCTCAACTTTGCTTAACTTCAGTGATTGTACAGGAACTGGTATTTCAAGGTGGTTTGGCTGTAAGCTGGCATTCATGTGAAATGAATGCAGAAGACTAGGACTGGACTTGAACCCTACTTTCTGATTCCAATTTTCACAGCAATAACAGTTACACTACATGTACTGCCACTATATAAAGGTACAAGAAAACAAAAAACATCTTTCAAATTAACTTTATAGGTATACACCAAGGATCTCCAATGAAGTAAAAAAAAAAAAAAAAAAAAAAATTCAACGTTTTGTTGAACAAAAAGTAAATTTAGCAAAAGGACTTTATACAGCACTTCCCTCAAGATAAAAGCTTATTTTTAGGAACTTGAAACAGCAACATGTGATTCACTGTACTGTGATAACCTTCTTTCTCAAAGGATTCTCCAATATACACTGGCTTTCAGTTGCCCTAACTATTGAGCCTGCAATAAAAAGTCTTTTTTCAGTTGAGGTGTGTAACAATCTTTCAAAAGAGCCCACTTAAAAACCCCTGAATCTAAAAAGGTTACACTATACAAAATAGTAACAATGAATTTGAGGAATGTGCTTCAAATAATTTATCAAGTGCTATCAAAGGGAGATAAAAAGTAACAAATAACTGATTACTGATCATATTAGAAAAAGAACAAACATTTTATAAATATACTAGCTGAACTACAAATCTAAGTTGGTTAAGAGTTCAAACCTGGATGTGATGATAGTAGAAAAAATTATTTAATACCAAGTGAGTTGGTGTGCTTAATGAAACAAATCAAAATTTAAGCTTGAAACAAAATAATCACTAAAGTATCGACTTCTTAATTATTTTTTTTCATCAGGAAAAGGAAAGGTAAATTTTTCTTCACCACGCCATGTCCCTTGAGTACATTGGCAAAGAATGGATCGCCACCATTTCTTGCCCTTTGTCACTCTTAGTAATGGCTATAAAAAAAGATCACTAGAACAACTGATAAAAATAAACAGATGAATATATCATTATTTACAAATGAGTGGGTGATGTCAGCAGGTGCAATGAGAGAGGTCTGAGGGAGATGGAAGCGAATAGAAAAAGAAGTGGGAGATGGATGTAAGTACAGAGAGAGAGAGAGGAAGAAAATGGAAGTAATTATATATAAAGAGGGGAGGGAAATGGAAGTGTGTGTGTGTATATACATATATATATATATATGAGAGTATTTATATATATATATATATATGTATATATATATATATATATATATATATATATATATATATATATATTTGTGTGTATGTGTGTATATAGAGGGACAGATGGGGGACGACTGAAGTGAGCACAGAGAGGGGGGGGAACAGAAGTGAGCGTGAGCGCACAGAGAGGGGGAACAGAAGTGAGCGCACAGAGAGGGGGGGAACAGGGGGGGGGGGGGGGACAGGAAGGAGCTTACAGCAGGGGGGGGGGGAAATAGTGAGGGGAGGGGGGGGGAACAGAAGTGAGTGCACAGGGGGGGGGGGGAACAGAAGTGAGCGCACAGCAGGGGGGGAACAGAAGTGAGATGAGGGGGGGGGGAATAGGAAGTGAGTTATTAGCGAGGGGGGAATAGAAGTGAGTGCACAGCGAGGGGGGGAATAGAAGGAGTTTACACAGCGAGGGGGGGGGAATAGTGAGCGCACAGCCAGGGGGGGAACAGAAGTGAGCACAGCGAGGGGGGGAACAGGAAGAACAGAAGGGGGGGAATAGAAGTGCACAGCGAGGGGGGGGAACAGGGGGGGGGGGAACAGGAAGGAGCGCACAGCTTGGGGGAAATAGGAAACAGAAGTGAGCGCACAGCGAGGGGGGGGGAACAGGGGCACAGGGGGGGGGAACAGAAGAACAAAGGAGAACAGGCAGACAGCGGATAGAGGACAGCAGATAGGAGGTAATGAAAGTAGATAGAGGCAGCCTAGATAGAGGTGTAATGAAAGTAGCATTGTGCAGATAGAGGTGTAATGAAAGCAGCGCACAGATAGATAGAGGGTGTAGATAGAGGGTAAAAAGTAAGTATTGTGCCAGATAGAGGGTGTGTAATGAAAGATAGAGTGTATTAAAGTAAGCAGAGAGGGGTGTAATGAAAGTACAGCACAGCAGATAGAGGGTGTAATGAAAGTAAGCACAGCCAGATAGAGGGGGTGTAATGAAAAGTAAGACAGCAGATAGAGGGTGTAATGAAAGCACAGCAGATAGAGGTTAGATAGAGGGTGTAATGAAAGTAAGCGCACAGCGAGATAGAGGGTGTAATGAAAGTAAGCGCACAGCGAGATAGAGGGTGTAATGAAAGTAAGCACAGACAGAGGGTTACAGATAGAGGGTGTAAGGGAAAGTAACAGCCAGATATTGGGTGTAAGATAGAGGGATAAGGAAAGCAGCCACGCTAGATAGAGGGTGTAATGAAAGTAAGCGAGATAGAGGGTTAAGAAAGTAGATAGAGGGGTGTAATGAAAGTAGATAGAGGGTGTAAGGGAAAGAATACAGATAGAGGGTGTAATGAAAGTAAGAGATAGAGGTGTAATGAAAGTAGATAGAGGGGGAATAGAAGTAAATGAATTGGGAGTTTAGAAAAGATAGTAGGAAAGAAAAAAAATTACAATGTTATCGGAAGACAGTTGAGCTAATTTCCTATCATAATCTGATATCTTCAAAATCAAAATATCGAAAAAGCAAATGAAAGATTTTAGCAAAGAGCAAATAAAAAGAATAAATATAATTGCTCATTTGGTGGACTAATAACCATTAGTTCTTTCTTTATTGGATTCTAATAAAACTAACATATTCACTCATACCTCTTGCTATTTGAACCCTTATATGCTGTCAAATGGTTTTATTAGTTACCAACAAAAATAGCTATATAAGTTTATATGCTTTATTTTGGTAAACAAAATAAAAATTTATTGAAATATAAAGAATGACTACAATGTATAACACTGACACTAGCATTATTCCCCACTGCTTCTATTATGTACATCTTCTATTTTTTTGTTGGGGGGGTACATGTGTATCTCATGGGTTATTTGATGCTGACAAGATTTTTACTGCTGGTTATATATATATTTAGTTTATGCAAAACTAGGTAATCCGCATGGGTAGACCCAAGGAGGATGATATCCGGAGAGCTCAATGTAAAATTCAGAGCCGATATGTTTGAATAAAAAACAGACCACTTTATGGTTCCATGTAATAAAGATTTTTCACAACCCCTTTAACAGGGCTCTGGATCATCAGACTTTACTTCCAAAGGTTGAATTTCTTTCATTTTAACCTTTGGAAGTAAAAGTCTGATGATCCAGAGTCCTGTTAAAGGGGTTGTGGTGAAATAACTTATTACATGGAACCTTAAAGTGGTCTGTTTTTATTCAAAAAAAAAAAAAAAAAAAAAAAAAATATATATATATATATATATATAATGCATTGCTATATTTTTCCTAAAAATAAGTATTGCTGGCAATGATTTTCCCAAAAAATAAGTATTGCTGACAATGATTCCCCCAAGTATTGCTGGCAATGATCCCCCCCCTAAGTACAGCTGGCAATCATCCCTCCCCAAAGTATTGCTGGCAATGGTTTTTCCCCAAAAAAAAGTATTGTTGGCCATAATTTTTTCCTTTATACTTTCATAGTGTTTTGGACCCTTTTGGTGGCGGTAACTATTTGCCCATAGCTAAAACCCTGACAGCTGCTACCTTTCCGAGTCAGGGCGGACCTGAGAACACCAGCAATTAAGAGGTGGTTCCACGCTCCTCAAAACCTCCTGATCCCAGGCCTTGCTGCCAGATGCAGTTTATTGTCTCACCCAGGACGTGGATGTAGTTTATCACCATACCCGAGATCTCAGAATGGATACACATGCATATTAGTGGACATATGCAACATGATGCACATGCACCAGTTAATGTAAATATGTTATGGTTATTAGTGTCAATGTATACATTTCCAGTGAGAAGAGTAGGGATGAAAGGAGATGGAGTGCAACCACCAGGGTATGAAGCAGCTGGCAGCACATTGGCAAAAAAAAGTTCTGGAGGTCCATTGGTAAAAGGTTTTGCTTGCTGAAGGATTTTCTATATACCTTTTTTTTTCTTTTCTTTTTTTTCTTCTAATAAATCAAAAACAGCAAGGACATTTTTGGCTACCATATGGGCAAATAAGCCCATATAGTAGCCAAAAATGAATATGGAATAAACAACTTTAAATGGAAATTGTGATTTTAAAATGGACATTTTTTCCTTTGTTACAATCAGATTTGTCAACTGCTATTTAATTTGTTACTATATTTGCCTTTCCTTTCCTAACTCACTCATCTGACATCAAGTCAGTAATGTTTTAATACATCCCCCCGCCTTACTTAATGCCTCTTTACAGTTTTACAGTATTTAGGAACAAAGTTTAATGAAGTTGGCTTGATTTAGGGGAGGGCGGCCCAAATATTTTGTCTTTTTGTTTTATCCTTTCTTTTTCCCATCACACATGGTTGACAGAAGAGGGGGACACTTTGTTATTTCAGAAAGACAAATTTTACAAATTAAAACTTCTTTCAAAAATGTTATTTAGTAATTTCAATAAAGTGACCAAACGATAATGTAGCTTTTTTTGTCTCTAGATGACTTTATGGTGCTACTTTTTCTGTAGTTTTTCCTAGTTTCACTTAATTCTTATTTAGGATTGTAGAATTCCATACAAGGGTTGTCCCAGAAACTCAAGTTAGATTAACAGTTGAAGTATGAGGTATGAAACCCTATCAAGCTGGAGCAACTTATCCAATGGGTGGATATTCCAGCTAATAAAATTTTTCATTTTCCTTTTATTTTCTATGAAAATGGAAAAAATAAAATAAAATAAAAAAATAAATCAAAAACAGCAAGAACTTTTTTGGCTACCATAGGGACTTATTTTCCATGAAAATGGAATAGCCTACTTTAAACAGAAATTGTGATTTTGAAATGGACATTTTTTTGTTTGTTACAATCAGAATTGTCAACTGCCATTTTAATTTGTTACTATATTTGCCTTTCCTAACTCACTTGTCTGACAGACATCAAAAGGATAAAGTTGCGAATGTTTTAATACATCTCTCCCTTACTTAATGACTCCCTACAGTTTTGGGGGTATTTAGGAACAGTTTTATGAAGTTAGCTTGATTTAAAAAAAAACAAAAAAAAACAAAAAAAACATGATGGTAGGAAGACAAAAATTTTTTGTCTTATCCTTTGCCTATCACACACAGCAATGGAAAGGGGGGGGGCATTTAATCAAGACCAGACAGAAAATGGTTGCTGACAATATGTTTATCAAACCAAAAATTACAACAAAGCTGACACAGACAATCTCATATTTTATGTGGGCTGCTCTTCAATCTTCTTTCTTGTTAAGCAAAGACATCCAGCCTGACTCCTATTTCGATCTGCAAAGTCAATATGAACAGCTTCTTACAATTTCCTCACTCTCCAGCAGTGTTTTCTGTTATGTACAGTCAATCTAGTGTCCATATTTTTGCTGCTATCATATTGGCCGTTGGGTTCTCTGACTTTCTTCAGGTATCTGTCAATCCAATAACCTTCAGGAAATTTCAAACTGAATCCCTTATTTAATCTACTGTAGATTATTCTATCTCTATCTTGCTATACTCTTACTTTCATTACACCCTCTTTACTGTCAATGTTTTAAGTAATAACTCAGTTACTGCTCGCTCTATTTTCAAATAGTCTTATTAATTGACCCAGAGACAGAATTCATAATTACTATGCCACAAAATTTGAAAACCAAGACTTTGTTCCTCTATTGTCCCACAAATCAGCAGACACCTGAAGAAGGCTGGAGAGCACAACAGGAGTAGAGGGTCTTATTTTCCGGGAAAAATGAAAAATAGAATGGCCTACTTGAAACAGAAATCACAATTTTGAAATGGAAATTTTTTTTCTGATAATCAGATTTGCTAACTGCCATTTTAATTTGTTACTATGTTTACCTTTCCTAACTCGCTCATCTGACAGACATCAAAAGAATAAAGTTGCAAATGTTTTAATACATACACCCCCCCACTTAATGACTCCCTACAGTTTTACAGTATTTAGGAACAAATTTTAATGAAGTTGGCTTGATTTAGGGGAGGGCGGCCCAAATATTTTGTCTTTTTGTTTTATTCTTTCTTTTTCCTATCACACATGGTTGACAGAAGAGGGGGACACTTTGTTATTTCAGAAAGACAAATTTTACAAATTAAAACTTCTTTCAAAAATGTTATTTAATAATTTCAATAAAGTGACCAAACGATAATGTAGCTTTTTTGTCTCTTGATGACTTTGCGATGCTACTTTTCTGTAGGTTTTTCCCAGTTTCACTTAATTTTTTTATTTAGGATTGTAGAATTCCATACAAGGGTTGTCTCCAGAAACTCGAAGTTAGATTAACAGCTGAAGTATGAAACCTTATGAAGCTGGAGCAACTTATCCATCCAGCTCTAAACAATGATTGTCCTCTAATCATCTTTACCAGTTCTCACCGTACCACCGATAGAGTTGATTGGTTTGGTTGATTTTGTGTAGCAGCATATCAACCTCTATGGATTATTTAATACCGAAACTTAAATATTTTGAACACAATCTTAAGGCTTCAACTAAACATCAAATGTATTATTGGTGTTTTTACTATAAATATATATTTTTATACTTTCCTAGTGCTTTAATTTTTGATGACAAGTTCACTATTTGTCCATAGTTGGGACTCTAACAGGTGTTTACTACCCTAGGCCAAGGTGGATCTGGGAACAACAGAAATTAAGAGGTGGTTCCACAATCCTCTAAACCACAAATCCCCTGATCAGAGGCCTTGCTACCGGATGTAGTTTATTGTCATATCCAGTCCTTCTATTGGGTTGTCAAATAAACTTGTTTCTTTATCCAATGTTATTTGAATTAATATGCAAAATATTTTTTTCATATAGTGTTTTATGTTTATTTTGTAGCTCTATTCTTTCTCTATGATTTTTGTTTACTGTTTAATATTATTAACCAATTTCATAAAATTGTTGATGATTTATAGGATTAAAATAAATGGGAGAAAAAAAAAAAAAAAAGATAAAGGAATTTATCTGACAATCCCACATAAATTTTAAAAGTGGTTGATAAAATGGGCATGCAGATAAAAATAAAATTTTGGTACTTACCAAACAAGTTGGAAGTTCTTGAAGTACTGAAAAATAAGAAAATCATTATTAAAAATACAAAAAAATAGAATTGGTAGCAAATATACATAAAAATAAAAAAAAAAATGCTGGAAGAGAAATTTGAGGTTCAGGTGACCAAGATACAAATGTTAAGTAGACACCCCAGACTAAAAGATATGCAAGTGTATCAGAATACAACAGCTGATTGCATGTCTTTATCTACCAACTGGTGTGTCTATTTACATTTATGTTGGTCAGGCTAGTAACTTTTCAGCTGACCCTTGAAGTACATCAATATATGCATGTCCTCCCCTACTTTTTTTATTTTTTTAAATTTCTGCATTAAAACAAATATATCTTGATTTTTAGCATGCAAAGTACATCTCTACATGTTAAGAATTAAGATACATTTCTTTTAAGGCAGATATTGAGAAAAAAAAAAAGAAAGACAAGTAGGAGGGGGGCTTGTTAGTAATACAATTTCAAATTAATATTTTATTACCCAGACACATATGCAAGTCTGCCATTTTTGTTGTGGGATAAACATTCCAGGAGACGTGTGTCCAAACTTAAACAGCAGCATACATAAATCCGCAACAGGGTCAATCTTAAAATAGTCTTTTGAAATGTTTAGTAGGACTAATATCAAGAAAGAAATTACTGTACATTGCATAAGTGTGGAGGACAACGCTATGGATGTGAGACACTAATTACATTCGTCCACTTGTAAAAATAAGGGAAAGTTTTTTCTTTAAACCTTTCTTAGTTTGTGACACTTGTTGGAATCAAAAAATATTTTTTTTATCGATTTAGAAGGGGATGATGTTCATAATAACAATAACAATGTCAAATTAATCCCTGACTTTTACAGAGTTATCTGCACTTATGTTATATTTACAAATGTTGTGCGTCAAACAAAAATTTGCTTATATCATTGACTAGAAGTAGAGCCCGACGTTGCTCGGGGATGTAACAGTAAGAGATAGATCAAGTATCGACCATCATAAAGACTGAAAAATAAAATTGATCAAGATTATTGTTTAAGGTTGACGGACACACATTCCTTAATTAGTTTTGTTTGTTTTTTTTTTTTTACAAATTGGTCAAACCCAAACATAAACATTGTTTTCAATTGTTATGAGTCTACCAATTGAATAGAATTTTATTATAAACAATTGTCTTATAAATGGAATTTTTGAAGCATTCTGAATGTAAAAATAAAGAAAAAAGTGTGCAAGACAATAAGAAACACTACCTGCCAAAAAAAAGTGAATTTTTGTTTTATCGGCTGAAAAATGTAGGAAATCCAATCCCATATATAAATGAACACACACACACACAAACAACAAACCTGGGTTTTATAATAAGTAAAACTCGATATGAGTTGTCCCCCTTTCATTCTCGCATCAGCGATGACTCTTAATCGTGTTTTCAAATTGATTTCATGCAAAAACAATTGTGTTTTTCCAATTTTTGGCACTGTCAGAACCACCGCAAGGTAATTTTACGTAGTCCTGTGAAGTTTTGTTGAAATCGGTTGAAAAATGTAGGAAACTCCGATCCAATATATAAACGTACAGACATACACACACACACACACACCTTGGGCTTTATAATAAGTATGATATCAGCCCTGGTTAAAAAACAGATTTTTGTTTTTTTTTTATTTTCCAAAAAGATTTCTTTTAAATAATATACAAACGGATATATACCTTTTTATGTTTTAAGAAAATATAAAAATGCAATTTTTTGGTAACATATTTAGAAAAGCTTCTTATTGAAAAACAAAACATGAGTACATACTTATAGTGCCACAGTTTTAAATTTTTCATTTATTCAGTTGCACCAGCTCGGTCCTGCACCAATGTTAGATCATTAGGACAGCATTCTATGCTATAACACAGCTGGTCACTGTAGCTGGTTGCTGGGTGACCAGACCATCTTGCACCATGTCTAGATGCTCAGAGCAGTAGATCACTCTCAAGTTCTTGTTTTAGTCACCCACAGTGTCCAGCAAATTGCATTCTGTGTTTGCGTAAGATTCTAGAAATATCGAAAACGGGCTTGTAGAACTGTGAGTTAGTTCAAAGTTGTTGCCAAGAGGTGTTAAGTATAGCTCATAGTATCCAAGTGTACGTTCCATCTAGCTTAAACTCAAGCATTTTAGTTAATGTTTAAGCAGTAGCACCATACATTAAAACCGCCTTTACAGTGGTATGAAAGAATCTCTGAGGTTGGTCTGGTAGATCAGAATTTCAGATTAGATCCATCATTATCTTGATTTTACTTTATCACCAAGACTCAAGTTTTAATTAAAGAATAAAAATTTACATAAATTATCTATCTTTGCCTCTGCAGTGATAGACTGACTCTCACAGTTGAACTACATAGTGACTTGGTCTGTAGATAGCTCTGACAGTCACCATGTAACATTGATTCCTAAGATCACACCATCTATCTATATATATATATATATATATATATAATTATTTATTTAAAAATATGATTCCATCGCTACATAAGAGTACTCATGTTTCAAAACAAGAGCCGAAAACTTCAATATAATTATTTGAATTAAATTGAATTAAAGTACCAAGCTACCTAACGAGTTCTTTCCTATTTTTTTTCTATATATATATTTTTTTTTTTTTTTTTTTTTTTACACACACATGCATATATAAAAATACAAAGAATCTTCAATGTTGTTGATCCTAACTTGGCAGCTTGGCTTCAGTTACTTTCTCACCACTAACATGTAGCTTCGCTGTGCCTTTTCTATAAATACTTTCACGGTAATTATTCTGATTAACTTTCCTCTAGTGCTAGATTGGCGGCAAGGTCTCCTCATTTTATAGTTGAATTGGCTAGATGTAACTAAGTTCTATGCTAACAGTTTCTTATCCGGCACTCCTCGCTTGTGGAGCTCTCTTATAGCTTGTTACTTTCCAGTCAACTTTGATCTTCAAAAAAATGCAATGTCAATTATCTTGTCTTCTTAATTCCTGTTCATTTATTGTTCTCTCTCCTTAATGATTTTTTCCTAATATTCTCTCATAGTCAGTAATCCCTTGCATCTTAGTGGCTTGAGGTGAAATGATTAAAAATATGACATATATATATATATATATATATATATATACATACACACACACACACACACACACACACACAATTGCGTCTAAGCATGAAACACACAATCATTGCCTGCCTGTTGACCTCAATATCCACTTTTGTTGCCATATATGGTCTAGTGCCCTTGCTGTTCATCTCTACACTCTCAACAAAATCCAAAGACAGATATGCAATGTGATCAGTCCTGACTTGGGGGTCTTGACTCCAGTCACTTTTTCACTAATGTAATGTGGCTTTTCTCTGTCTTCTCTATAAATATTTTCATGGCATCTGCTCTGACAAACTATTTTTATGGATACCCAAACTGCATGAATTTAAGTGTGCTACTAGATTGGCATCTTGGTCCCACCCTTTTACTGTCAAAACAGTTAAATGTAACTGCTACTCCAACAGCTTCTTCTCTTGCACTTCCCAACAGTGGAACTCCCTTCCTCTTACTTGCTTCCCTGATAACTATAATCTTCAAAAATTTAAATGAAATGTCAATTGACATTTTATGTTGTCTTGATTCCTGTTCTTTTTATCCTTTCCTCAATGCTCTCCATATACAGTCTTTTTCCCTTACTTACACTCTCTGTAGACCCTAGTGTACTAGTGGCACTTCTACCTTGCTTGGGTGAATTGCTTAAAAAAAAAAAAAAAAAATGCTCTATCCATGATATTGAAAAGTTTAACTCATAAATATAACATACTCTTAAAACTATATCACATAAAGAAACAATTTATACAAATTATGTAGCAGTGTTAATATGATTAATAGCAAAATCACTTTACTAACAAGACTTAATGAAACATTAAATTACTATCAATTCCTTGAATAAGATCCTTATATTAGGGTTGTTGTCAGATGGAAGACACATGTCAAGTAGTTTTAGCAACTGTGTATTCCATTGGACAACTCAAAAATAAAGACCTTATTATTCAAGGAATTGATCATAAGTTAATGTCTCATTAAGTCCTGTTAGTGAAGTGATTTCACCATTAATCACATTAACATTGCTATTTCATTCTTTGTAAAAATTGTTTTTTTATTATATAAAATATAATCTGTGTGTGTGTGTGGTTATTATATAGGTATATTATTACAAAAGATATTTAGTTAATTATTAAATACCCTTTAGTATTTAGGTATTGATAATTATACAAGAAAGTGCAGTTAAGTTTTTTGAGGAAGAGCATTTTGGTCAGTCCAAAATGTTTCAGCATCCTTTCCCGTTATGGTATATTTCTTTTAGATGCTGGAAAGAAAATGAAGAATTTGTTATCCTCCATGACATTGCTTTAGGCTCCTAACTACTGAAAATCTGGAGACTAAATTCAGTAGCAAGATGCACTCAGTAAACGAGACAATATAACAAGGAGCAGAAGAGCAGCAGTTGAACTGAAGAGGAAAGCGTTCAATGAATCTGTCCTATCAGTTATGACGTATGGTCGCAAGAATTGGACAATTAACAGTTAAACAGAGATATTCACCATAGCCCAGAGAAAGACAGCGTGGATAATGTGAGACATTACACTCTGAGTCTGGAAATGCAACAGCTGGATAAGGCACCAAATACGAGTCTTTGACATAGATATACACCAAGCAGAAATGAGCAGAACATCTTACCATTACAACAAATTGACCATCATCATAACCAAATGTATATCAAAGGATCAAGCCAAAACAAAGGACCATCTGAAGAAAAGGTGAAACAGCAAGTATATAAAAATAAATCATTTGTTGCCAAGAATAAAAATCTGTTAAATAGGATGTAGTATTTGGGAGTGAGAAAAATTTATGTCAAATTCTCTAAATTAGTATTGACCGTTTACTTTCAGGTATCAAATAAATGATAAGAGTTAGAAAAGCAATCAGAAAATGGATTTTTCAATAAATGGAGAGAGATTGGGAAATGATTAAAAACAAGTGTTTCTAGCTATAACAAAATATAAAAATAAATGTCTAAAAAGCTTTAACAGAAATTGAATATATATTTCCAAGAGGATAAAATCCAGGTAGAATTCAATGTAGAAGGCAGAGCAAGAATATTATATAAAAGGTTCAACTCCCACATATACACTCTCATTGAAATTTTGTTTTTAATACAGGGAATTATATTTTCCGATTTCTTTTTTGAATTTGTAGGTCTGATGAATTGATTGTGATCAGAATTCCAATGTAATAAATTATAACCATGGAATATTATGGAATATATATATATATATATATATATATATATATATATATATATATATATATATATATATATATATATATATATATATATATATATATATATATATATATATATCACACACACACATATATATATATATATATATATATATACACACACATATATATATATATATATATTATATATAATTATTATTTATAAATTATATGCTTACTCATTACAAAGGGCTCAATATCAGAGATAGAGCTAACATATTTGGTTGGCAAATATATATATATATATATATATATATATATATATATATATATATATTGATTTTTCAAATTCTAAAATATTCTTACATCTAACTGTGAAAAAGAAAGGTGAAAATTTGTCATTGTGTGTCGTAGTAGTAGTTTTCTAAAGAAGTAATCGATTTTTTTTTTATTTATTAATCTGAGGGATTTTTATCACTTTAAATATTATTTTTAGTGGATACTAATATTTGAGTAGGCGCTCCATTTATTTATTCAAAAGTATATTTATTTATTTTCATCTACTGGTCTGAATATTTGAGAAACCTTATTAAAGAAAAATAGGTGCTCTCTGGTAGGAGTTAAACACACACACACATATATATATATATATATATATATATATATATATATATATATATATATATATATATATATCAGAGTGGATACCATGCAAGGATTGAAGACTGCATTCAAGCATTATACAAACTGTTGCCACCTAGTATTGACCTAAACCTACACTTTTATATTTTACATACAACCTATCCCTGATATTGAGCACATTTACCCATAAATATACCATACCTTAAAAGTATACATATTTCCAGATGTAATAACAAAGGATTTTAAAAAGCATTATAGAAACTAATATGGAACTAATGAGGAAAGAGAGCTTGGAGAATTTAATATTCATAGGACATATTGAAGGAAGTGATGCAGGGAGTTTCTCTCTGTATCACTTCCTTCGCTATGTAATCTACTTAGTAAGTTTGTGTGAATTGATAGCAAAACAAGGGAAAAAAGAGTAGGTAAAAGGTCAAATGTTATTTAGAGTAACAAAAAAGGAAGTTGTGGAGAGCCATGATCACCCCCATATCCTGAAAGAACTTAGTACAGAAAAGAAAAATGGTAGCCGAGATCTAAATATCAAAACGCATTATCACATTTACGAGCTTACATCCTGACAGCAACACAAGCTACTTCTCTCCTTAATGTCTTCAGTTAAAAATTTCAATCCACAAAATTGTTATTAACCCAATTCATGTGATTATAATTCATAGTACTTGTTCTTTTAATCATTTCACCCCAATCAAGGCAATAAAGCTCTTAAGATCCAAGGAGTTACAGAGTGCGAAGTATGAGAAAAGAAAATCATTATTAAAAAGTAACAATAAAAGAACAGGATTTTTTTTTTTTTTTTGTATAATGATGTTTACCCTGTATAAGACCCAAAAGCCACTAGAAGAAGAGGGTTGCAAAGTAAGAGGCAATTTGTGGAGATGATAATGGTAGACCTGACACTTGAAGAAGTCAATATTGTAGTGATTGGGGAAGCAACACCTTAAGATTTGGTTCCACAAGAAGACAAAAGATAATAATATTGTATTTAAATTTTTGAAAATCAAAGTTGATTAGAAAGCAAGAAGCTGGAAGAGAGTTCCACAAGCAAGAAGAGAGAGAGAGACAAAGCTTTTAGAAGAGAACTTATGATTACATCTAGCCATTTCAACAGTAAAATGATGAGACCTAACTGCCAATCTAGTATTGCATTTAAATTTGTAAAGACAAGGTACCAAAGTGAAAAGCCCATCAGAAAAATTACCATGAAAATATTTATAGAAAAGGCACAGAGAAGCTATGTTACAGGGGAGTGGGACAGTCACTGAAGCCAAGATGCCAGGTCAGGACTTGCTTGAGGGAGATCGTTCAAGTAGTTACATGCACTGATTCCTCGTGATATATGTTTAATTTGAAGCTTGGTACATGAAGGATGTTATGGAGAAGTTGATGAAATGATCCCAAGTTAATAGGCATAATAATCATTATACCACTAATAAAAAAAAAAAGTCACTTTGGCTCATTAGATTGTGTTAACAAAAAAAAAACTTTGTTAGTGCTGTCAATTAGTGAAATTACTTCTTGGATAATTATTATATGCATAACTGCTAATGTTATCCTTTTGAAATCTCTTATCAACCTGCAGACTGTATTCCGAGTTGAAAATATAAAAGATGCATAAAGAGAAGAATTCTATGGAACTAAGATTACCATTACTTAAGACAAAAAAAAAAAAAGAGAGAGAAAGTTAAGTGTGAAAAACTAAGATATAAAAGGATGCTCAGTTCTACTGGTGACCTGCTAAAAAAGAAAAATGTTTTTAATTTATAATACATCTTGTGTTTTTTGGTATTGTCATAAAACTGTAATGTTCTTTTATGTGCAATGTCTCTTCAGGACATGATGATCATGGCTCTCCACAACCTCCTGCTGTCTGAATCAATGTTTGACTTTTTAACATCCCTCTTTGAATGGATAGTTAGCAAAACCATGACTAACTTGTAAAGTAGGTTGCAGCTTCCCTTTCCTTTCTGAATAGGTGTTAAATTTTTCAAACCACCTTTCCTCACAACATGTCCTAAAAATTTCAACTGTCTCTGATTACATTGTGTTAATAAACAACCTTTGTTATTTGTTGAATAGAGCTATTAATTATATTAATTATCATATCCCCGATGTAGAACTGTTATCCTTTCAAAATCTCATATACATACATATATATATATATATATATATATATATATATATATATATAAACATATTCTGAATTGTATACACACGAAATACATAAAGAGAAGAATTAAATGGAACTAAAATTACCATCACTTGTTTAAGAGGATAGTTAGTCGACAAAAGGAAATAGTAAAAAAAGTTACATTTGACAAACTAAGATATGAAAAGGATGTTCACTTCTATTGGTCGACTGCTGAAAGACCAGAATTCATCCATCCAATAATTGGCAGCATCATGAAAAAGCATTGAACTGTTAACCAAAGTTAGTGGCATCAGTAGTTGAATGAAGGTGCTTTGAATGGAGCAAACCAAATTATGGCGATAGAATTGTCTTCAAATGCTATCTGATTGGCTAGCAATATCAACAGGAATTACATTATTGATTCCTTGATATGTTAAACTTTGCTGCCAAATGAGATCTGGAAAAAGAGCAATTTTGGCATCCAAGTTGTTAGAGGCATATAATCATATGAATGTCAGAGATGATCAGAGATTATGAATAAAGAAAGAATAAACAAAAAATGTTTTTTTTTTCTAAATACTTCTTGTATACACTTTCAATTACAAAACTTAACGAAATAAAAAAAAATCATTACAAACAAATGAGTACTGAACTGTTATGTAGTATCAGTCCCCCTATATGGCAATGAATGCTGGACAATCTCCTCATAGATGAAGACGCTTGAATCAACAGAAATATGGTTCTACAGAAGGATGATGAGAATACCATAGACCAAACATTTGAGAAATGATGAAATCATGGAGAGAATGGCAACCAAAAGGGCACTTATACTTAACATCAGGAAGAGATAACTGAAATTTCTGGGGCACATATTGAGGAAGGAGGGCTTGGAAAATTTGATACTCCCAGGAAAGATTGAAGGTAAGAGAGAGACAGAAGAAAGTAACACACAACCTACATGGTGAGTTTGAGTGAGTAGATAATGGAATAGCATTTGGGAGAGATGGCAAAAAGACAAAAATAATTAAGAGCTACAAAGAACAGGAAGTTGTAGAGAGCTATACACGTTTTTACTGAAAGTGTCTTTTTTTGAAAAAGACACTTTCAGTAAAAACGTGTATACAATCTACGCTGGGGAAGCAAGTGAAGAAAATGTTGGATTCAAATAAAATTCATTAATTTCTTATAAATTATATATAATAATAATAAAAATTGACACTGTCATATATTGACCAGACAAGATTATACCATCATTGTTAACTACATGACCATGTCAATGGCTGCTGTGATACGTCAGGGCTACATACAGATTTTAAATTCAGACTGGGTGCTAAACATGGCTAGAGAACATAGTTTGCTATTTAACCCGTATGCAAGATGAAAAAGAAAAAAAAATAGGAAACATTAGTTATCTCGTCTGAAAAAGGTTTAATGAAAGTGAAACGTGTTAGAATGATAAACCTTTCCTATTTGTTCTTTATCTCATTGTTCTGTCGTATTCTGATCCATATTTGATAGTAACTCATATAATCAAATACCAAAAGACCTCATATACAACTAGCTACACAGCAGAAAAAACCCCCCAAAAAAACCCAAAAAACAAAACAAAATGTAGCCAGGCTGTGTCATAGGTACAATGACAGGCTGAAGAGTAATCTTGAAGCTG